TGGAAAAGGGAGCTGAGGTAATATTCTTAACACTGTCACATTAATGATTTACTAAAGCTGGAGCTTCACATTTTCTTAAAATTTCTCTCTTCTCCCATCTCTTCCCACCTTCTAGCTCCTGGTAATATTGGCATAGCCAGTATGAAAGCAAAATGCAATGGAAAATATATGAAATCATCCTAAGGATTTCATTCCTTTGACTTTCTTTTTAAAGTTGCCCAGAAAGAAGGAATCTTATCTCCCCTTTCTCTCCCAGCCTTCCTTCTGGAGTTGTTTATACTACCATTTAATCCTTTTGCTGCCTATTGACTGTCCAAGAGCTGTAAGTGCAGAGGTCCCTGGACTCTGATTAAATCTAAACCATGTGAGACCTGTTGCTACCAGACGTGCACTCTTTATTTTTTCTTTCTCTATTTGTTTTTATCTTTTTTTTTTTATTGCTTAAAGTATTACAAAGAGTATTACACAGGTCTCCTTTTTTTTTTCTCCCCTTGACATTCCAGACGTGCACTCTTAATACCACTGTCATTGGGAGATACATATCATTCAGCAATCCCTTCCTTAATATTGGGTTACTTGTGCTATTTCTGCCTACCAATTATTTTGTTTTAGTATATCTTGCTTCTGTAAAAACCATAGATTAATTTATGTTGGCATTAGCAAGAAGCAGCATAGTATACTGAGTGATTAAAAGAATAGACTCTGGAGCAGGACTTCATGGATTTGAATTCTAGCTGTCACTTCTTCCTGCTGTGTGACCTTGAACAAGTTACTTAACCTTTCTTTACCTTAGTTTCCCCACCTGTAAAATGGGGATAATAATGGTATCTTCTTTATAAGGTTGTAAAGTATTTAGAACACTGGCATGTAATAATTGCTAACTGCTTGTTAAATAATTATATAAGCAGTTTTGACTCTTGGTGAGCTATCTTAACGTGCATATGCTGAGGTACTAATTTGAATCAGACATGCCATGAAGCTGGTGTGCAGGCTCCAAACACTAATCAGTGAGCCTAAAGGGCAGCCCCAGCATCTGATCTCCACACAGCTGTGTTGTTCTCTACTGTCATTATATTTTCCATAACTTTTTTTTGTGTCAATTCTCACCGCAGGATATTTTCCCATTGATTCTTAGAGAGAGTGGAAGGGAGGGGGAGGGACACAGATAGAGAAACATTGATGAGAGAGAGACACATCGATTGGTTGCCTCCTGCACGCACCCCAACTGGGGCCAGGGATCAAGCCTGCAATCAAGGTACGTGCCCTTGACCGGAACTGAACCCAGACCCTTTAGTCCATGGGCTGATGTTCTATCCACTGAGCCAAATTGGCCAGGGCTCCATAACACTTTTGTGAGTGACCCTGAAATAAAAGCCAGTGGTTAATGTCAGTGATGAAAATGAAAATATCTTGGGGGAGAAAAAGAGAGTTTTTATCTAAATACAAGGTTGAACTCAGTTTAAATGTTTCCGTTTTTCTTTATTGCATATAGGGGAAAGGAGGGGCAGAGGGAGAGAGAGAGATTGAGTAGCTGTCTCTAACCACTGAACCATACTAGCCAGGGCATATCTTCTCTTTCTTTAGCCCTTATTATGCGGTAGAGATTCTAGTGCATAATAAATGATAACAGCAGCAAGCACCTAAAGAACGCAGGCCAGTCAGGAAGTGCACATAACAGTGTTGCTTGGGGACAGTTCTTTTCCTATTTGCTCCTAAGCTCCTGTGATATCTCTACCTTGATCACTAAGGCCCCCCTGGGAATTGCTTGTTGACTCTCTTGTTCAGAACATTACAAGCCAAGGTAGTGGATAAACATGCATGCTTCTTTGCCCACCTATCGTCTCAGTAGTCCATCTACTGTAATACAGTTCCTCCCTCTCTTCAGGTGAATGCCCTGGATGGTTACAACCGAACAGCCCTCCACTATGCAGCTGAGAAGGATGAGGCTTGCGTGGAGGTCCTGTTGGAGTATGGTGCAAACCCCAATGCACTGGATGGCAACCGAGACACCCCCCTTCACTGGGCAGCCTTTAAGAACAATGCTGAATGTGTGCGGGCCCTCCTAGAGAGTGGGGCCTCTGTCAATGCCCTGGATTACAACAATGATACCCCACTCAGCTGGGCTGCCATGAAGGGAAATCTTGAGAGCGTCAGCATCCTTCTTGATTATGGTGCAGAGGTCAGAGTCATCAACCTAAAAGGCCAGACACCTATCTCCCGGCTGGTGGCTCTGCTAGTCAGGGGACTTGGAACTGAGAAAGAGGACTCTTGCTTTGAGCTCCTCCACAGGGCTGTTGGACACTTTGAATTAAGGAAAAATGGCACCATGCCACGAGAAGTGGCCAGAGACCAGCAGCTATGTGAAAAACTGACTGTTCTGTGCTCAGCCCCAGGAACTCTAAAAACACTCTCTCGCTATGCTGTGCGCCGAAGCCTGGGACTCCAGTATCTGCCAGATGCAGTGAAGGGCCTTCCCCTGCCAGCTTCTCTGAAGGAATACCTGTTGCTCGTAGAATAGCCTGGAGAAGATGTTTGCACCATCACGCAGGCACCTCTGGGTCAGGTTTTCCCTGCACTGCTGTCTCTTTGTCTTGGAAAACAGGAAAAGCAGCTGTTCCTGTTGTGTTGTTTATATTTTGAGGCAACATGTCACAACAGTAACTTCCACACCACCTCCTCTCCCCAAACCAAGCAACCAAACAACAAGAAAGAGATCTCTCACTTTTGTCTTCTGTTTACTTATTATATTGCACCCTGTGAAGAGGTCTCCCATCTCTCCTCCTCTTTAGGGAAAAAGCCAACAGTGCAATCTCATTTTCTCTAGGAAGATGAAAAGTACAAAGTACTCAAAGAATGTGTGTTTGGTTTTCCTTTGGGGACATAATTAACACTTTGGAACAATCCTCTAGAAGCATTTTAATTGATCTGTGAAGAAGTTTAAGGAAATTCCATCTAACTTTTGCCCAAAGATGAAGGTATTATATAGCCTCAAGTAGTGTGCAGATGGAGAACTGGGCTGGATGGTATCCCTAGAGTGTCACCTCATGGGGCATTCAGAAGGGACTGGCTCCCTTTCTCACCATCAAAAGAAACAGCAGTCTTTGCCTCTTTTCCATGGTTGTGCCCAAGGATTACAATAATTCAGCAAATTAATTCAGAAAGATTGTCTCGCTGCTTTCCACATAGTAGAAGAGATAGCAGGTTCTACGCAGTCCTAAAAATTTTCTTGTAATGCAGTTCTTTCTCTTCCTGAAAGCCAGCTTGCTCCAATGGTGTAGCGGGCATTTCCTGCATCATAGGCGAAGGTGTTTGCTCTAGTAGGAGAGGAATGGGGCTGCCTTTCCTCGTGGGTCTTCCTTATTCCCTATGTGAAGCTCACTTTGCTAAGGGCTTGGAATTATTTTTCTTTCATTTGTTTTGGAAAATTGGCTCTTTACTGATCTATACAAGACATTGGTGGAGGGGATGGAGTGGGGGCTGGGGGAAGAGCATTATACGAGCCTCTTTCGAGATGGCCCATTTACCCAAAAAAGATCTGTTTTAGTGAATAATACTTAGTCAACAATACTCCTTTCCATGTCCCTAACCTAGATCAAGTTATTTTTTTAAAATTTATTTTCAGAGAGGAAGAGAGAGATAGAAACATCAATGATGAGAGAGAATAATTGATTGGTTGCCTCTTGCATGCCCCCTACTGGGGACCAAGCCCACAACTCGGGCATTTACCCTTTACCGGAATAGAACCTGGGACCCTTCAGTCCAAAGGCCGACACTCTATCCACTGAGCCAAACCAGCTAGGGCTAGATCAAGTTATTATTGGTCTTAGATGACCTGTATGCAAATTTGAAAAACCTTTTTAAAAAAACAATTGGGAACTACAAATAAAAATGAACAATCTGCTGACATAGCTAATTTGAACAAGTATACTATCTGCTTTTGCTCTTTTGCTATTGGTGTTTTTGCTTCCTTAAAAAATAAACAGTTCTGAAAGTAACTGGTAATTTCTGTTGTTCTTACTTTTCTCCACATTATTTAATCACCCTGAACTCATCTCTGAAATGGCACTGTCACCCTCCCTCATAGGCTATTTTGAGGATTCAGTGATAACAATGCTTGATATTTATTGTTAGTTCCTGTACTAGTATAAAGAGCATTTGGCTGCTTTAATTCTGGACTCTGACACGCCTTCTCAGTCACTACACCTAGATAATTATTTAAGGTAAAGAAGTAATACTTTGGACAGCCAGCAAAACTGACTTATTAGAGATAATTCCTTCCTCCACCCCTTGTAAACCTGAAGCTGCTTCACCAAGCAGGTGAGGAAACTGGGTTGGGAGGAACATGTTTGCCTGTGCTGTGAGCCAGGATCTGGTCATTGAAGGCTAAGCTTAAACCAGGGCACCATCCTGACCATTTTGGGTATAATTTGTAGTCCCAATCCTGAAGACCGACTGCATTACATGGGCACTTGGCTAATGAGGAAGAAGAAGCTGTTGTTATGGGACAGAAAACAAACTAAGCTGAATAAGAACGGACATCTTTCCAAAACAGTATTGCAACCAAATCAGGTCCCAGATTAGCTGTCTAAATTTCCCAAGCTTTCCAAATATACATGGCTCCCCACAAATGGAGTCTGGCTTTCACCCAGGAAGGAGTACAGGGGAAGAGTTGAAAAGGGAGAACCCTGGGTTGTCAGTGGAGGAGTAGAGATCATGGGATGGCCGGGGAAAGCAGCTCTGGGTAATGGGTATATGATCAAAAAGAGAAACACCACTTCAGCTTAAGGGAGTCGGGAGCATCGTACTGACTGCAGAAGCAGCTAGTGCGGATGAAGGTGAGGACCAGCGAACTCTGCTCTAGGACCTGGTGTGCAGAGCCAGGAGATGCTGCACAAGTCCATGGGCCGTTCACACGGGCTGCATGTCCCATGTGTCCGGTCCGGGCAGAGTCTGGTAGTGCTGTGCTCTACTTGTGAAGATGACAGCAGGAGATCCAAAAGCACAGTGACCAGTTGGCATTTATTAGTGTAGTTATTGTCTGTCATTGCAGCAAACACAGTAGAGGAACCAAGACTTTGTTATCACAAAGAAATAAATAAAGCTTATTTTTAGGAAAATTCTAACCGAGTAACTGAAATCTAGCAGTAGAGGAGCCCAGCCTGTGTGATGGATGAAGCTGGGGTAGAAGTCTTGATAAATTCTACCTAAAAGGAGCTTTCACTCATTGCCCCCTAGCCAGAGCTGATCTTGGCTGCAGTTAGAGAATAAAAGGAAACCTAATGAAAAATGAGCTAAAACACTTGAGAATATGTGGACTTGGATCTATCAGGGGGTGAGCTGACCATGATCAGACAATCCATCCCCCTCCCTCCAAAGATGTTTAGACAGGAGCTTCTCCAGACCGCTTCCGATTGATGTGCTCCAGGTGCGCATGCTCTGAGGTATCCAGGTCAATCTCATATTTGGCTAGGATTTTGAGGATGGGCCTCAGCTTCAGCCACCACTGTTCCTTGGGGATGCGGTGCCTACAGAGGAATGAGGTAGATCAGGGGTAGGGAGTGTCCAGCCCGCGGACCGTGTAAGGCCCACGAAGTCACTTGGTCTGGCCCTGCCAAGGCATTAGGGTGAGTTAATTAAATGTTTGGCCAAATATAGCAGGCTAATTTTTAAATTGATAATTTTGTATGGCCCATGAATGATGTTATAAATATCCAAATGGCCCTTGACAGAAAAAGGGTTCCCCACCCCTGAGGTAGATGATAATTTAATCTTTTAGGAGGGCAATCAACTATCAAATGCTTATGGGAAGAAGTTGAGCAAAAGAAGCTGGATTTAGGGCATGGGCATCGGATCCTAGGTAGGTACAGCTACAGATGTTACTCCTAAGAGAAGAACTGAAGGTAGTGAGCAGACTGGGAAAAGCAGACCTTAAAACTACCAGGGAGGGAATCACTCCAGGAAGCAGATGTACTCACTCAAAATCGGTCTGGTCCTTCAGCTCAGCCACTGGTTGAAAGACCAGGGCCCTCTTACGCATCCCTAGAACGCAGCCCGAGTCTGGAGTATTGGCAAAAATCCGTCCTGCAATAAGGCATGGTCAGTCAGCTTCTATACTGGGGAGCCCGCCTCTTTGGAGGGGCCTTACCCTCTTACCCCACCTACCATTACGGTAACTCTCTTTGATTTTCCCAGTCATCCAGTTCATGGCCTTGGCACCCATCTTAGTGGCAAAATTCCTGTCAAATGGAGTTGGGCTCCCACCCTAGAAAAAGAATCATAAAAATTACTGAGGGAAAGGCTCTAAGTAGCACAGATATCTGAAAACAGAGAAAAAGGAAAGAATGGACCCAGGTTACTGCCAGAAACAGAAATCTAGAAATCTAATTATGAAAGGAAATCCTGAAACAGTTCTGGGAACCAGGGAGAGCTGGCCAGGAATATTTGGCCATTTGTCAGGTATAAGAGTTACTAATTAGGTAAAGGGATGACCGGTGTCACAGTGGCCACTCCTAGCTCCACAGCTCCCAGATCTTGTTCATGTACTTCTAGTCTCATTGGCCACTCGGTCACTTCCCTACCCCTCTTCAACCTGGCAGCTTTTGTCATCATCATCAATGACATTGAAGTGTTCCTTGTAGCCCAGTCTGGATGCTCTTGGTAGCTCCTCAGAATAATATAAAACACTAGAAGCCCGATGCATGAAATTCATGCAAGAGTAGGCCTTCCTTCCCCCCGCTGCTGGCACCGGCTTCCCTCAGGCCGCTGGCAGGCACCCAGGACCCAGGCTTCCCTCACAGCCCTGGCTTCATCCCGAAGGTCGTCCGGAAGGATGTCCAGAAGGACATCTGGTCTAATTAGCATATTATGCTTTTATTATTATAGATATAGATTTTTTTCTGAACTAAGAGAAAGTAGGTTGGAAAGTGGGAAGGAAAAACAGGAACGAGGTCTTCATACTTTCATATAATAGTACCCCATTCCTGCAGGTACTCATTCAAACTGAGATACTGGGAATTCATCTGTGGGTCGAGGAAGGTCAAAGGGCAATGCTTAGATAGCATCAGCTGGGGACATTTTGGATGGGGGAGGTCTCTAGTACCATAAGTGAGTGAGGCTGACCTTGGGTGGGGATTGAATGTGGGGATTGGATGTGGGTGGTAGAAAGGAATTCCTTTTCCCTTGAAACTCAGTGGAGATGGAGCCCAACAGCAGCAAGGTGCCTGTACTCATATTCCACAGGCTCCGTAGGAAATGGTGTGGAGGGAAGAGCAATGGCTGAGGCTCATTCTGGCTCTCATCCAAGCTTAATGAATGGCCCTGAAAAAAATGTTTCTCCTCTCTGGGCCTCATTTTCTTCATTGCAATTAGTGGTTCTCAACTGGAGACAATTTTACCCTCCAGGGGACACTGACAGATTTTACTTGTTATAACTTGGGGTGGCAGTGCTACTAGTGTCTCGTGGGCAGAGTCCAGGGTTGCTGTTAAACTGTCCTACGATGCACAGAACAGCCACTACGACAGAGAATTGTCCTGCCCAAAACTGCAATAGTGCCGAGGTTGAGAAACCCTGCCCTAAATGAAGAGGATGGGCCACGTAATCTCTAAGGCAATTTCCAGGGTAAAGATGGTTTGGTTCTATGACTATAAAAGGCTGTAGGCTCATGCTCTATGTGGCACCAACAGCCTCCAGCAGGTCAGAGGCCAGCGGGAGCCTCAAGGCTGGGAGGGTTATGGTTGCCTGGTGAAGGGCATGACTGGGGCGTCTTCCCTACCTGCTGCATGTGGCCAAGCACATTCTTCCTGCTGTCGAAGATGCCCTTCCCCTCCTCAGAGTACAGGTTGAAAATGAAGTCAGTAGTATAATTCTCATTGCACTTCTCATTCCTGCCAGGTAGAGACCAAATGCCCGTGACTTTGGTTGTCTCCCCACCCCAGAACCCCCTTTCTGCCTCTGTAGGCTCTGTTCTGCCCTCTGCTATCTCCTCCCATGATTCAGGTTCCCTCCCTTTGTATCCAGATTCCTCAGTGCCCCAACCATGGACCCATTCTGTGGGCTAGGGCCAAAGCCTGGCAATTTTCTCTCTTCAGTTAGGAGCACACCGTGGATGAGGTACCTTAACACCAAGCCCCTTTTCACAGTTGTTTTCATCTTTTGCACCAGATGTTCAACATTCGCCTAAAAATGAAACAGTAAATCCTAAGTCTGTGGGAGTGGATAAGGTCGGGCACGTGCAGAGACCTCTTCCCCACCAGGCTTCTCCCGGAGGGCACTGGGCCTGATCCCTTTATGAAGTTCAGTGCAGACTGAAATTTAAATGAAGACGGCAAATCGGACAGGCAGAGGAAGAAGTTGGAGACAGCGGTGGTGACTGTCGGTTTTAGCCCCCTGGCCACCCCTCTCCTTGCCCCTTCCTAGGGGTTTCTGGTTCCCTCGGGGGGCTGACTCTGCTCTCAGCATCAGTCTGTACATGAGTTGCTTGTATGTACAGCAGTGATTCACCTGGGAGGAACCTGTTCCTTCACTTGGGCTTTGAGTTGGAGGTAGGAGAGAAAAAGTCCCGCCCTCCACTCCTGGCGGGGGCTGGCTGCAGTCTTGGATTAGGGAACTCCTTCAGTATCCACTGTGTGGCTCTTTTGTTCCTCCAGGGAACTGGGATCTTGGGAAGGAAGGGCCATATGGTCTCTCTGAGAGAGAGGAGTCAGAGCCTCACCCTGGAGGTGAAAGGGTATCCCCTTCTCAAAACTGGAATGAGAAGAGCCCATGTTGGTAGCAAGGGAAATTGGGAAGGGCAGCGCGATGTCGTAGAAAGGTCACCAACTTTCTCAATCAGTTCTGAGTTTAGAAAAGTTTCTAACCTCTCTAAACCTTTCTCGTCTGTAATATGAAGATAGTATTGCCCTAGCATGTCTGTTGTGAAAATAAAATGAAAAACACACATAAAGGTCCGAGCAGCAGGCCGTCCTTCTAGATCAGTGGTTCTCAACCTTCCTAATGCCGCGACCCTTTAATACAGTTCCTCATGTGGTGGTGACCCCCAACCATAAAATTATTTTCGTTGCTACTTCATAACTGTAATTTTGCTACTGTTATGAATCATAATGTAAATATCTGATATGCAGGATGTATTTTCATTGTTACGAATTGAACATAATTAAAGCATAGTGATTAATCACAAAAACAATATGTAATTATATATGTGTTTTCCGATGGTCTTAGGCGACCCCTGTGAAAGGGTCGTTCGACCCCCAAAGGGGTCGCGACCCACAGGTTGAGAACCGCTGTTCTAGATGAACGCTCCAACAGTAGGCGCTGTGGTCATGTATGTGAGGTCACGCTAAGGAATGCCTGCTCAGTGCTCTCTCTAGTCTCCTCGCAGGACTCCCAGACCAATCAGCTCTGTCCTCATCTTGAGCTCTCTCAGCTCAGGTCGCTCGGGGAGGGTGGGGACGTTGGGGACAGACTGGGGCAGGGGAGAGCCACCTAGCAGGCTCTGGGTGGCTGTCTACCTGCAGGTCTCGAATGGTGAAGGGCTCCTCAAAAATGTAGGCGGCATCGGCCCCAGCCGCCAGGCCTGCCATGGTGGCCAGGTAGCCGCAGTAGCCACCCATAGTTTCAATGATAAACACCCGACGCTTGGTGCCTGCTGCTGACTGCTTGATGCGGTCACAGGTCTGCAAAGACAAAAGGTCATAGAAAGACACAGTCAGGGATCTGATTCTTGTCACTTCCGTGGCCCTTGTCGTAACCTAACCCTGGAGCTATCCCCTCCCAGGGCACCTTAGGTTCCTGCCTGCAGGACGGCAGGCACACTTGCCGCACACACTGCAGAGCTACCCTTTCCGTTGCTCAGAGAACGGAAATTAGGCTGTGACCTCAGAAAGGAAAAATACTTTTGGTATCAGAGTCTTGACGCATTTCTCGGTCAGAGGACTCACAGATGAGGAGAATAAACACATATGAATGGTTACATAGTCTGTGCAAATGCCTGGACTTGAAGAAGCATTTTTCAAATACTGCCACTTGGTTGGTACAAAAAAATATACCTCACTTTCCAGGACCAGACTCAGTCCAGGGCTTATAATCTTGGCCAGAGGCATGGGTGGGGTTGGGGGCTCTCACCGTGCAAATTGTGTTGAGCGCTGTGTCAGCCCCCACACTGAAGTCTGAGCCAGGGACATTGTTGGAGACGGTAGCAGGAATGATCACAAACGGGATGCAGAGCTCGTCATACTGCTTCCTGCCCTCCATCAGTTCCAGGCCCCCTGTGTAAGCCTGAGAAGATAGTGGTAGGGGCAGGATGAGGGGAGAGAGGGAAATGTAGGAGGGAGGGAGGGAGAGGAGGAAATGGGACTGGCACTCACCTCAAAGCCCCCAATGATGACAAGGCCCTGAATGTTAAACTTAGTGATGTTGGCACTGATCTGTTCTAAGCTCTTCTTGGGCAGAGTCCTAATTGGGGGTGGAGGTGGGTGGGAAGAGGTGTGGGGGTGGGGAGGGAGGATAATGAAATTTGGGGAAGAGACAGCAGAGAGAGAAAAGTTAGAGGACACTTTACTTTTAATTTCTTGATTTGTGCCCTCTTACCTACCCCACCCCCACCCAAGAACACACACTGGGGCTCTAAAGTGCCAGAGCTGGTAAAAGGGGTGGGGTGGCCTGACTGCTCTCACTGAAGCAACTGTGAGCATAGGGGGAAGAATTCCAGACAACAGCAGTGGTCCCAGCAGACCCTGACCTGACGAACTGACTCCCATGAAGGGGGTGCTCCTGCAATGCCACTTACCTTTTAGTCCCAAGTTTAGACCCACCCTGGCCAGTCCAGCCTCCAACATAGCTCCAGCCAGCTTCCTCAATCTGCAGGGAAAAGTCAGATCGTACACTGACCCCACCTGAGTTCTGAGCCCACCCTGACACCCTCTGGTTGGAAGAGGAACACCAGGGATTGGTTTTTCCCCACCTCGTTGGACATCTTCCACCCTTTCTGCTCATTCCCAAATGATGAGCACCTACTTATGTGAGGCACTGTGTTGAGCTTTGGGATAGGGAATTAAATGAGACGTTGCTTGCAAAGGGTTCGACTCAGTGGCCCTTGCCTGTTTCTACTGTCCTAAAATTAAATATCTGCTTCTGCTCAAACTATGAGACAGAAAGGTAGTGAGGGGCAGGGGAAGAAAAGAGAACAGACAGGTGACCCCCTGCTACACTCATCCCCCATGACTGCTCCATGGCCCCAGAATACCCCCTCTTTCATTTTGGCTCCCGTACCTGACCCTTGGCCAGGCCCTCGAAGCCGTCATGCACAACCAGAACTCGGTTGCCCTGGATGAGGCCAATTCTCACGGTGGAGCGGACGGCAGCATTCATGCCTGCTGCTGGGGCCCCCACATTCATCACGGCCACTGTGTGCAAGCCCGTCTGTGGAGAAGCAAGCAGAGAGAGAGCAGGGGAAAAGGGGGGACAGGTCAGAAAGGAAGCTGAACTAAGTCCCTTGTTGTCCTTGAGTCAGGACATCTGCCTGACAATACACACCCCTCTCTCAGGGAACTCTTACATAGCTTGCTCCCTCATACAATGGAAGCAAAATTCCGTATCACAAATCAGTCAATAAAGCTGCTGTCCCTGACCCCAGATATCCTATATAATAAAAGCCTAATATGCTAGGTATCCGGTCGTCCGGTCAACCAATCAAAGCATAATATGCTAATGATATGCTAAGACCACTCAACCGCTCGCTATGACGTGCACTGACCACCAGGGGGCAGATGCTCCGACTGGTAGGTTAGCTTGCTACCGGGGTCTGGCTGATCAGGACTGAGCGAGACGGGCCGGTCATGCCCTGGAGCCCTCCCGCAGCCCCTCCCCGGCTGGAAGGGCCGGTCATGCCCTGGAGCCCTCCCGCGGCCCCTCCCCGGCTGGCCAACCTCGCGGGCCTCTAGTCATTATATAATGAATAAGACCTTCCAGAGCAGCATTTTCCAAAGTGAGATCCTCAGACCACTTGCTTCAGAATCCATCTAGGGAGCTCATTAAACCTACCTCTTCCTGGGCCCTGCCCCAGATCTAAATCCCATCTGGAGGAATGACCCAGGAATCTGCATCAGCACCAGGGACTCTGATCTACATAAAGATAGAGAAACACTACTCCAATGGAAGAGGTGGCTTAAACGCACTTAGGTGTGACTATTCCCAGATTTGCCCAGAGAAAACAATACCTAAGCCCTCTTTCCTGTTCCTTGCGTGCTGTCACGTCAGCCCTGAATTGGACACGGGTCTTGGTCAGAGATACCCAGGGCATGCTAAGAACACAGGGCTGGTACCTGGGCGTGGCTAACAGAAAACTATCTTTGTAGGGTCAGGGACTCGGCACTGAAGGTGATAGTGGGGCAAAGAAACTGGCCCTTGGTATCAGAGTCTTGACGCATTTCTCAGTCAGAAGACTCACAGATGAGGAGAATAAACACATATGAATGGTTACATAGTCTGAGGTACTAGGAACTGGGAGAAGCACTTCATAGAGGGAGACTGGGGGCACGCCAGGGTGAAGTAGGGTGAATAACTTGCCAGTACCTTAGACACTGGGGGTCTGACATGAGCCAGAAGCTTGTACACCTCCCAGTTGTTCATGAAGCTCCTGTAAAAAGTAGTGAGAGGTGTCTTCCATCCATTCCCCAAGCCAGCAGCCAATGGGATCTGGTCTGAAGTTTTGCTCCCAAAGTGAAACACCACAGGGCAAATCTCAAAGGACATAAGTGGGGCAGCAGCAGGGACTGGGCAGGGTCTGCAAAGGGGGCACTAATTCATCAAACCCTCCCGAGCACTCTTCTCCCCAGGCTCAGCACAGAGACTGCCCCCTGCCTAGAATCTAGCCAGGCTCCACAGAGAGAAATACAGATTATAAAAGGCCAATCTCAGGGAGGGCATCCTTGGGGTGAACTGAGCCTCATGGTTACTTCACAACTAATTCTCTTGGGGAAGAAAGTTTGCAGAGACAATAGGAAGAGGAAGAGGCAGAGGCTCATATTTTAGGTCAGAAGCTCTGTGACTTTTGGCTTCATTTGGCATCTCACTGCTGTAGCTAGTGATCTTCGGGTCATTTCCTCACCGGCCTCTCAGCTTCAGGGCTTCATCAAACTTCTTCTCGCTCATGGCCTTGGTCACGTCTTTGGTCTGAGGGAGGAGCACAGCAACAATCACGAATCCAGGGCAGGTCTTGCACAGCTGGAGGCCCATCCCACAGGGAGACTCTGCCCATCGCTGGCGTGTGACTATGTCTTGTCCACCCTGCACCCCACCTTTCCTCAAACTTTCACAGAAGAAGTATTTTTGTTTTTCCCTTAATTTTCTGAGTAATGAGCAGCAATAGAAGAAAGCTGATCCAACGCTCTAATTATTAGAAGATGGGCAGAGTGGAGCAGTGCTCACATATAAAACAGCACCTTCCTCCACCACACACTCAGGGCCCAGCCTCCCAGTAGCCCCTGAACCAGTGAGTGCATGAAGAAGACCCTGCAGATGACCCAGATGGGGAGAAAGGCTGACCCCGGCCATGTGCTCCCCCACCACTGACTTCTGCTCTGGGAGCCAATGCTTTAGCTCTAAGGCTTTTAGAGATCCAGTTCCGAGCAAGGCTGGAGCCTGTCTGGGCTGTAGGTCACTGGAACCCTGAGGGCCAGCCCTCAGCATTCATGCCAGACACGTTAGCTCTCAGCCACGATGTTCGCTCTGTGGTATCAGTGATTCCTCTATAAGGGCCACACCATTTCCTGAGCACGCAAGTTTCCAGGCATTGCATCAAACCCTTCACATAGCTTCTCTCCAATCCTTACACCAGCCCTCCAGGTGGGTATTAGTACCTCATGTTGGTTCAGAGAGCATGTCCAGGGTAGAAATCAGAGGAAGATATAAGCTACTAGCCAGACCTTAATAATATCCCCTGCTTTTAATAAAGTTTGGAGAGCCCTAGCTGGTTTGACTCAGTGGATAGAGCATCAGCCTGTGGATCCCAGGTTCGATTCCGGTCAAAGGCACATGCCAGCGTTGTGGCCTCAATCCCAAGTAGGGGGCGTGCAGGAGGCAGCCGATCAATGATTCTCTCTCATCATTGATGTTTCTATCCCTCTTTTCCTCTCCCTTCCTCTCTGAAATCAATAAAAATATAATATTTTAAATAAAGTTTGGAGAGCCTGGTTGGTGTTGCTCAGTGGTTGAGTACTGACCCATGAACCAGGAGGTCACAGTTCAATTCCTGGTTAGGGCACATGCATGAGTTGCAGGCTCAAAGCACAGTAGGGACATGCAGCAGGCAGCCGATTGATGTTTCTCTCATCAATGTTTCTAGCTCTCTATCTCTCTCCCTCCCTCTCTAAAATTAATGAAAACATATTTTAAATAAATAAATAAAGTTTGGAGAGATATTGCATTTCTCTTCTAATAGACATGATGAAGGGGTTTGAGGCTGGATGTCATGAGATAATGGGTCTCCTTACTAGGCAAGATGTAGAGTCTCCCATTCTTTAGGAACATGTCACAGATGGGGAAACTGAGGCTGGGTTGGAGAGGTTATGGCCGCTATGCAAAGCCCATGGCGTCCTTTCCCCAGACGTCTCTTACTCTGCCGTGCTGCCTTCCTTCTGCTCCTGCCCCCAGCAGCCTTGGAGTTGGTCCCCTTCCCCATAAGCTCCAGCTCAGAGACGGGTTTGGAGCATTAGGAAGGGGCACTGGAGTCAGTACTTACCACCTGGACACACTCCATGAGAGGCAGGCGCACAGCCTGGTTACCGGAGAGGCTCACCACACAGGCTGGGGTGTCTGGGGTCCCCTCCAGTAGTGCCATCACTGCTTCCACACCCATCCTGCTGCCCTGTAGGAGCCCAAGGAGCAAAGTCTGGTGCAGGCCTCCCTATCTTGGCCTGGCCTGGGGAACCAGGGCACTTCGCGCCCTTTCCATCTCACAGGGTGGAGTTCCACATTTAAAGACTGTAGCCAGGAACTTCCTGGGCTTTACCTCCCTACCCAGACTGCACCTAAAGCTTCATGACTCTTCATCCTCTTGCCATCAGAACCCCAAGGATACTACTTGATTCCAGAGAAACAGGTCCCACTATAGTGGTCAAGGGGATCGATGAGGCTTAATAATATTCCTTTCTTATTGATAAAACAAGGAAGGATATTGCCTCTCTCTTCCAATGAAAGTAGGATAAGAGGGTTCAAACTGAGTGTCTGAGGTTAGATTAGATCTTAACAACTGCACTGATGCTCGTAGCTCTAAGATAGGAGACCTCACCATTGGGGAGCATATAGTTTCCCATCATTTTTTGCAACAGAAGAGAACTCCCAAGTGTAAGGGAATGGGTCCAGCCACTGCAGAGGCTGGTGGCGGGACAGCGTGACCAGTGGTTTAAGGCCCTGTGCTGGTGAGGTCCAGTCCTGCAGGCGAAGGACAGCAAGCTGAGGGTTCTAAGGCAGGAGGGCCACCAAGCCCCAGGACTTACCAGGATGCGGTCAAAGGCTGACGGTGTCCCACCCCGCTGCACATGCCCCAAGACAGTGACCCGGGTGTCGTATCCCAGACGCTTTACCACCAGCTGAAGAGACCAAGAGAGGAACAGAGAAAGGGATATACAGAGTCAAAGAAAGAAGAGACGTAGATAAAGCATGGACAGCTTATCTTCTTATCTTATAATGATTCCTGGTGGGAGGAAACCAGGGGGCAAGAACCCTGGGAGAGATGTGCAGAAGGATTAAGGAGAGACTCAGAAATCATTAGGGAATGGGCCCGGGGTGGGTAAGGTGTTCGAGACATCTCTGACTTCATGCATACTAACGTTCTTGACGTCTTCTGAGGTGATTGGTTTCCCATGCTTGTCAATCGCGCCCTCAGCCACAATGATGATGTTCAGACGAGAACCACGGGTCCTTGTCTGGTCAAGCACAAAGAGGGAAATGGTGGGTGAAACCGATGGAGGGGAAACGGAACATCAGTGAAACAGGGTGAGGAATTTTATTTTTTAAGGGCAAAGAAATAGTGCCAGTACCTCGCTGAGCCGGCGACAAAGGTGCTCCTCCCAGTCATCATCTGGTGGACATTCAGGAATAAAAACCCAGTCGGCGCCACAGGAGAGAGAGGTGACAAGGGCGAGGTATCTGAGATGAGAACCAGAGGCATCACCCTAGGAGCTACGCTCCACAGATAGCCTCCCCTGTACCCAACAGGTTCGCCAGTCCCCATAGTTGGTGAAAGCACTGAGGATCCTCAGTTTCATTCTTGGGGTGAGGGTAACCCTTAAGACAGCTTCTCAATAGATTCTGCCCCTGCAGGGCACTTTCTATTCATGCTCACCTCCCACAGTGGCTTCCATTTCAGAGCACTGCCTGTTCTTTCACACTGCGTGTGCCTGTGCACGTGCACACATGTACACTCATGCATGTGTAGGTATGCATGGGAGGTGCAGTGGGGACAGGGAAAGGGGCGCGTGTGCACCTCCAGGTCTGTACCACTGGAGGCCTCTCTGGACTCCACAGGGAGAAGGAAAGGGCTAGTGCTGGGTCCATGGAATAAACGAGTCAAGATGGGGATCTTACCCACAGTGCCGGCCCATCACCTCTAGCACAAACGTTCTCTGGTGGCTGCAAGAGATAGACACTTACACTGTCCAAGTGTCCCTATGGTCAAGATCAGCTGTACCCATTTTTAGACCAAGTAACCCCTTTGGAAGATGTATTTATGCTGCTAGGCCTTCCAGCAGGTTTCCTGAGAGAACAGGAAGACCTACGGGAAACACTTTAGCCACAGGTGTCCTTCCTAGGCCTAAGAGAACACAGCAGTAAAAGGTGTCAGTACTGCCCAGTGGATAGAGTGTCGGCATGCAGACTAAAGGGTCTCAGGTTCAATTCCGGCCAAGGGCACATGCCTGGGTTGCGAGCTCGATCCCCTGCAGTAGAGGACGTGCAGGAGGCAGCCAACCAATGGTTCTCTCTCATCATTGATGTTTCTCTCTATCTCTCTCCCTTCCTCTCTGAAATCAATAATATATATAATTTTTTTTTTTTAAAAAAGGTGTCAGTACTAAGGCTCTGTTCCAGAAAGGATGGGGCTCAGGAAAAGGAGAGAAAGGGAAAAGAAGGGAATAAGAGAGGACTTGACTAACCTGGAATCCTCTAGGATTCCCCTGGGATAAACTGTTACCCTTCGCCCTCTCATTCTCCCACACTGCCTCCAAGCCCCCTAACCACTGAGCAGTGGTGGTAATGGCCTCTACAATCTCTATGATGTGGTTGGAAAGGGCGGCTCAGGTTTTGGGCTCCCTGGATTCACCTCAGTCTAGACACTAATTATGTGGGAGACTCAAGAGGTATAAAGACCTCCGAGCTACATGTTTGGACAGTGGGCTAGACAGAGGGAGGAGGCAAATCTTGCAGCATTTCGAGAGCAGTGCAATTTCAATGCTCTAGGGATAATTCCTAGTTAAAAATGTGTTCTAGCCTCAGGAAACTAGTCATTATAGTTCACCATAGCTCAAACACTCCACCTTCTCTAGCTCGGAGCTCTTAGCCTGTCCCAGCTGCCAACCTCCTACATTGCCCACCCCCAGCCCCTTACCTCTGAGCAGTAGTAGTGATGGCATCTACAATCTCGATGATCCGGTGCAGGGCAGAGTCAGTGCCAATGGTCATATCGGTGCCGCAAAAGTCATTGTCAATTGATCCAACCAGACCCACGATGTTCAGGTAGCTAGACTTCTTTGCTTCCTCAGCTGTGATCTTACCTGACAATGGAAAGCAAACCAGGAGCCCTGGGTGAGGTGCCCGGCATGCCAAAGAGCAGATGACCAGAGAGAGAGGGAACTGGAGCTAGTGGGAATTGTAAGCTACGGCAGAAAAAGGAGGGCAAAGACGGCCCATTTTGTCTAGGTAACGACTTTCCCCAAGGGAAGGGAAGGGGTGTGTGTGTGCACGCACAAACAATACCAATGAGAACAATGTCTCACCCTCTTTCTGGAGGTCACTCAACAAGCCACTCCACTCAGAACGGAAGGTGTCAGCTCCAGTGAGGCTGCCATCACCCCCAATGACACACAGATTGGTGATCCCACGCTTCACCAGGTTGTGGGCAGCTCGGAGTCGTCCCTCTCGTTCCCGAAAGTCCTTGCACCGGGCACTGCCAATCACTGTGCCTCCCTTTGGGGAAGAGGGAGAAGTCAGCTCACCAGATGACACAGCCAAATTTGGGCTCAACATGCTCAGATTCCCCTATTCCAACTCTGTGATGGGCTGACATAACCATGTGGTCCCTGGGAAGTTTCCTGACATCTTTAAGAGTCATTTGTTTCTTTGAAAGGAAAGGGCAACAACGCTGGCGGGGATGTCACAGCATCATTCCTACTTTCTGCTACACCTCTTGGAAGGCTGCTAAGGTCAACCCATTTGTTTGAAGGCCTTGTTATCAACATGATTTTCCTCAAAGAGAATACATAGATGTCTGCTGGCTTTTGAAATAATCTCCACCCTTTGGAAATTCTCCCTACTGGCCTGACATTAAGGATTGCATCATCTCAATGTGCTTGGTAGTATTCTCCTCTCTCCACCACACTGGGAGTTCTAATTGTAACCTGGCACTGCCAGTCTTTTCCCTTCGCTCTGTGGGATCTATGGTGCTAGTGGAAAGAACCGCAATACCCAGGTATTCACAGGAAAAATAGCTTTGGAATATAGAAAGCCTTAAATTTCCAGGGGTTTACAGATACCCCAAGAGGTAAATACACTTATTTTCAAAAATCATACAAGCTCCTGATATCCAGAACTTTGGGGCACTGATGGAGACTTCTGGCTCATTCCCAGACCACATTATGGCAGGCACCATCACTTGCCTAGAACCGTCACTACGCCCTGCACATTAAATTTCTTTCCATGGTGTGGTAAAGGATTGAGGCAAAGGATGGAGATATAAATATAATTTGTAAATTTTTCAGTAAATCAGAAAATGAGTATATAGTAACTTAAAGAATGACTTAAAGGCAAAGGGTTATGGATATGATCGGGGTATTTTTAGTTTTTCGTTTGTTTGGTTGGTTGACTTTAACTCTGAAAGGCTCTCTGGGTTCCTCCCTCCCTTAAATGGTCTGGTTTCAGTCCACCTCATCCCATCACATGAGGACTAGCATATTTCAGCCTTACTTCTGGCTCTGGCTCTAGTCCTCTGGTAAGGTTATTTTCAGGGCCAGACCTTCCCCGTGACCCCAGAGCAGGTCTTGCTTACATGCCAGGTCCCCAAGTATTGCCTATGACCTTTATATACAGAGCAAACTGTCCTATGATCACATCCCCACTCTCTATCCCACTTTAGGAAACCAGGGTGATACTTTCAAATGCAAAGAGTAAAGGGCAAGCATAGCCCCTACCTTGTCACTGAGTCCCTTCCCATCACACCACATGGCAGGGAACTGGGGAAACCATGAGCCCAAAGCAGCATGGGGTGAAACAAGGACAAAACATGGGACAAACGTCTTCTAGAACGTACCAGCTGAAGCATCATCGAAACGCTCTCCCAGGTGGCTTCCCTGATGTTCTCGCCACCATCCACCAGGCCTTGATAACCCTGTGGGGCACATTAGACCCATTCAGTCTCTGCTAGGCTTCCCCTTAAACTCCCAGGATCAAGACAGGAACCTGGGAAGAGGTTCTCAGAGAATGAAGTCACCTGCTCCCATTACAGATTCCTGGATACTTGTGAGACCAACATAGTCCAACTTTTTCAATACCCTCTTCTAGTTTCTCCCATTTTTTATGTCCTTCCCAATACTTAATCTTAATTCCTCTTGTTCTTGGCTCATCCCATTTCCTCTAATCCGCTTCCCAGGGGAACTAGATAACAGATGGTTTTGGTAACAGTGGAGGAAAAGAAAAGGGGATGTTGGAGGGAGGGAGAGGAATATGACTTGAAAAGACAAGAAGCTATTAAATTTAAGAGAAGACAGCTAGACCTTACCTAAAGAAGAGTGACAAAGAACAAGAGGAAACAAAAGGAAGGGAAACAAAGAGGAATTGGAACCTCAGAAAGTTGGGCAAACTACAGAAATCTAGTGAGACTCTTTCCTCCTACGGCTCTATCTCTGGATATACTCAATTTGCTGTGAAATGCTAACTCATTTCAGCTTCTCTCTCTGTTTTGGAGGGAGGTGGAGGGAAGACAGGTTCTTCTTCCTTTAAACTGAACAGGCAACATGAGGACCCAATCCACAGATCCCTGGGTCCTACCATCATTACTGAGGCTGAGAGTGGGGAGGGAGCCAAGACAAATCAGACACAGCAATGTAACTGGGAGGTAAGGAAAGAGAAAGTGGGGAGAGGAAAGGAACAGGTTAAGCATATAGCAAAAAAAGAAATGGAGAACAAAGTAGAGAACCAACCTCATGGACAAAGAAGACACGGGCACCAGTAAAGATACCAACTCGGACCACAGCCCTGACAGCAGCATTCATTCCTGCAAGGAGAAAAGAAAGAAGTGAGAAAGAGGTTACTCCTAAGAAAAGCAGCCCTGGAATCCAAGATAGGAGACAGTTCTTTTCCCTATTTTATTGTATTTTATTTTGTTTTATATATTTTATTGATTTCAGAGAGGAAGGGAGAGGGAGAGAGAGAGATAGAAACATCAATAATGAGAAAGAATCACTAGAGATAAAGTGCTTGGTAATGGTCCTCAAGACCTGTGAAGAATTATAATATGGTGACAATATGGGTCCCTATGAAGGAGATTTGTACAAAGTGCAGTGGGAACAAGGAGAAGGGGCATTTCAGCTGCTAGGAGGAAGTCTGGGAAGGCTGTATAGAAAAGACCATTTGTGCTGAGACCTAAAGGATAATTTCCCATTTAACCTTTTTGTCAGGTAGACAATTTGGGGGGAAATGTTCCAGGCAGGGAGAATAACACAAATAAAGGCGAGTTTCAATGAATAACCTTAGGTAATTCAGAATTATAAAGAATAAAATATAAAATAGGAAGTGGTGAGCGATGAAGCTGCACAGGTGGGCAGGCACCTGTGTATGAGAAAGTGGCCTTCATTCTGTAGGCCAGTGTTTGACTAAGGATCCATGGGTAATGCTTTTGCGGGCATGGGCACTTCTTTTGGGAGAAGGTCCACAGCTTTCATTTGATTCTTAAAAGGATCTGTGACCAAAAAATAAAGTTACAGGCTCTGGAGAATGATTGAAGCACCGTGACAGTAGAGGGATAGGATGAGATGGACATATCAGAGATGGCTTTGGCAATGTGGAGGACAGACTGAAAAAGAAAGGGTCCACAACTTTCATTTGATTCTTAAGAGAATCTGTGACCAAAAAATAAAGTTACAGACTATGGAGAATCATTGAAGCACCATGACAGTAGAGGGATAGGATGAGATTGACATATCAGAATATGGCTTTGGCAATGTGGAGGACAGACTGAAAAAGAAATCACTAGGATTAGATGGCCATCAGATAGCCTAGACAAAAAAAAATGACGAGGTTCTAGACTGCGAGAGTGACATTTGTTGCAAAACAGAGATACTGGACAGGAGACACTCAGAAACAGAAGCAATAGGATTTATATCTAATCAGCAATGTGATTAGATTTCCAAGTTTTGTGGAAGATGAGGAAATGCCCATGACTGACTTTCACAAAGGGTAAATTGTCGTGCAGTTAACTGAGCAGAGGCAGGTTTTGATTTGGGGAGATGGGGTGGGGATGACACACTCATATTTTGAGTTGAGTTCCTGTGGGACAGCATGTGAACTTGGAAGAGACTGTCTCAAGAGAATATGAAGAATTAGAAGGGAAAAGGGCAAGGAAAGAAACCCTGAGGAAAAGCAACATTGAAGGAATGGGCAGGGGATGAGGAATCCATGAAGGAAACTCCAAGGAGCAACCAGAACGATAAAAGGAGACCAGGGCTTAGCAATGTCTTCGAAGCCATAGGGGACAGTTTTAAGACGTGGGAACAGTGTCGAATGCTTCTGATAATTAAAATTAACAACCGCAAGGTTGGGCATGCCAACAAGAGGTCATTGGTGAGCACTGATATCAAAGCTTATTTATGACATCACTGAGGCAAAGCCCCATGAAGGCTAGAGGTCTGAGTTAACAACCTCAAATTGAAGGAATCAAAACTGAAAAGTCTGTGAAGAGAGGGGGCTTCTCAGAAGCTTTAAGAAAAGCCTGTGTGTGCCCGGCTAGTGTGGCTCAGTGGTTGAGCGTCGATCTATGAACGAGGAGGTCAGGGTTTGATTACCCGTCAGGGCACATGCCGGGGTTGTGGGCTCAATCCCCAGTAGGGGTGTGCAGGAGGCAGCCAATTAATGATTCTCTCTCTACAGTGATGTTTCTATCTCTCTCTCCCTCTCCCTTCCTCTCTGAAATCAATAAAAATATATTTAAAAATAAATAAATAAGTAAAAGGTTTTAAGTGTAAAGGAAACAACAGATGGTGGGTACAAAATATCCAAGTCCATTGAGCAGAAGAAAAATCCCACAAGAAAAGAAGATTCTTTCTCTTCTCTCCTCCCTCTGCCTTCTTCTTACCTCAACCCTACCAACCTCTAGAGATCATCTTTCCTGCTTCTAAACGGGATAGCTGAGTGTTTTCTTAGAAATCAAGGTTTAGGACCCTCTTTGTGTCCCTGGACCTGTGTCTAAAACTCCTAGTTCCCTAGAAATCACAGACCAGGATGTATAGATAGTTTATACCAGAGAGTCCCAGTAATTCTTTGGACTCTGCTATCCAAACTCATTGGCCTAGTCTGGCCCCAGGTCAGTTCTGGCCAGGCTCCCCTTGGCTGTTCCATGCTGTCCTAAATAGCTCTCTATGAGCAGCTGTCTGACCTATTAGAAGCAAGATGAAGGATAAGATTGCAGGCAGCATCCAGGGGGTATTCTGGGTACAGCTAGGAGGGGCTCTAGAGAACGTCAGAAGCATGCAACTTTTTAGAGTCTCCAATTACAGCCTGCTGGAAAGAGGCTTTGGGAAGAAGAACTATGAGTGATGGTTCTTTACAAGATAGAAATAAAACTAATATATGACTTGATTACTATCTTTTTTAAAGTGGAAACTAAAATGTTTCTTTCTACCTTAACTGAACTTTGAATAAGAGAAAAATTATTTAACTCCAAATAAGAGGACTAAATGTCTGTTAGATGTGAATTACTCTTTCTGATGAATATGTCACTGAAAATTATAACTCCTAGAATAGCAATCAGAGAGATAATAGAATCCCTGCTCTTGTAAACATGTAAAAATAGAATGAACATGCATTTAAATGAACTGCCTGGCCCTGGCTGGTTGCTCAGTGGTTAGAGCATTGGCCCACAGGCTGAAGGATCTTGGGTTCAATTCCCAGTCAAGGGCATGTACCTCGGTTGCAGGTTCAATCCCCAGCCCTGGGCGGGACACAAGCAGGAGGCAACCAATTGATGTGTCTCTCTTACTTCATGTTTCTCTCTCTCTCTTCTCTCTCTCTCTTCCCCCCCTTCCCACCCCTTCCTTCCACTTTCTCTAGAAATAAATGAAAAAAAATATCCTTATTCCTCAGGTGAGGATTAAAAAATATAATAATAATAAAATAAATTAATTAAATGGACTGCCGGTCTGAAGACAGAGGGCTAGAGCAGATGACTGAGGTCCTTTCCGACAGAACATGCTGATTTCCTACGGCCAACTGTGGCATGGTTTAGAGGGGCAGGGCTAGGAAGAGAATTAGGATTTGGTATCTAACCATCCCAACTTTTGAGCTCAGGATGTCTCCTCACTCCTGGCTACTCTTCTACTTTAAGAGGTTACTAGCTTTGCTAAGGCTCAGGGAATGACAAAGCTATGACTTCCATGGATTTTACAGAGCCCAACCTCACTTTCCCATGTGACCCTAGCCTCCAGGGGAAACACACTTCTGTGCTCTCTCCCTGAGAGAACAGGCACCGTTAAACTTATCCCTGGGCAGGCTGCCTCTGTATCTGAGCTACTCCTTCAGTCGGGACCTCTCAGCTCTACTGTGACTTTTCTGCTTTGCTTCCTCGCCTTCCTCAGAACAGGCACCATTAAACTTATCCCTGGGCAGGCCACCTCTGTATCTGAATCAGTCGGGACCTCTCAGCTCTACTGTGACTTTTCTGCTTTGCTTCCTCGCCTTCCTAGAATTTTCCTCTACCACTCTTAGTGCCTACTGCTATGCACCCGTGATGTTACTAGTATGTGGACTCGCAGTGAGATATCTCCTTGGGTACACTGATTCTGTCATAGAATCCCATGGGCCTTGTCCTTGGTGGGCCTTCTGGAAATCAGCCTGTCAACAGCCCCTGCCTTCATAGAAGATGACCCTTCCCTTCACACAGTACACAGGGGATGGTCATCTCTAAAACAGGAGGGTCTGCTCAGGAGCAGATGCCAAAAGGGCTCTGTTGCTCTTAGACCCACGTCAAATCCTAAGCCTTTTTTTCCCTCTTACCTCTTTCCCTTTCCAGAGAGATCTTCTTTTTCATAATGTCACAACTCTGTGTGACTCACTTGGGACTTTTACCAGGTCCTCATTTCCTATAGTCTGACCCATTCCACAGGCCATCCTACCCAAGTTTTAGGATCAACACTCAAAGTTTATGTTGAAGAGCTCAGTACTGGCACAGGATTCTTTCCAGGAGAGAAGAGTGAAGCGGCAGGAGCCAAGTCAACAGTCTCTACAGCCTCAACTTGGGCTCTGCATTCTAATCTCCCCACTATTCCTAAACTCGGGCTTCTGTGCCCCCTTTCCTCAGCTTCCTCATTCTAGCATTCTCCTATTCATAATATATATATCCAACTATAATTAAATAAATGTTAGTTTAAAAAGATGCTTAAAGTCTAGCACACTAATAAGAAGGACCATTGCGCAAAGACAATGTGTGACTTCTTCATTAATGTAGCCTTAGTGCTTAGCATCCTGCTTGGCACACGGCAGATGCTCAATTATTCACTTTATTTACTTAGTAATACATTTATTGAGTACTTACTATGTACCAGGCACTGTTCTAAGCACTTTAGCTGAATGAAGAGTTCAGTTTCTTGAAATCTATCTTCTCTGTGAAGTTTCCCCTGGTTAATCCTATCTTTTCATTGTATAAGTGGAGTCTACTGGGTTAAGCCCACTTGATAATTGCTACTTATGTGTCCTACATAGGCGTTCTAGTAATGTATGACATCTTTTCTCATTAAACTGTTCCCAAAGGAAATCACCTTCTTTACAACATATGAGACAGGGCTCTATACAAAGTGCGTGCTTACCACAAAGTCTCGGAAAGCCTAGGGAGAGTGGTGTGGAGGAAGGGGACACTAGCTGAAATCTCTTTCTTTCTCTTTCTCATCACAGTCTCCGTGTCCTGGTGTCCCTTTCAAAGAGATTCTGCCTCTCTTCAACGTATTAAGTTAGAATATACAAGATCATCAAAGGAGGGGAAAAAGTAAAATAAATCACACATCCCCTATCTCCCACTTCATTTTCCATATTCCTGATTTTTCTTATACGTAACTCAGAAATGGGTTCCCTCTGGCTTTCTGCCCACTGCCCACCCCCACCATGGATCTGCACTGAATGACTGCTGCTGTTCTGTGTGTTCAAGGGCTAAAGGGATGGAAGGGGAGGAAGGCCAGAGAAAACAGAGAATGGAGCAGAACTCTGCCTCGTAGAAGGACATGTGCTGTAAGAGTGAGGTGCCTGACCCTGGTCAGTGCAGGAATTCTGTAGACATCAGAGTTAATCCTGAAGCTCTAGCTGGAGCCCACCAAATACCAATTCTGGGTCTCCTCCTTTTCCCAACATTCCCACGGTACTTGAAGTGAATCTATTTACTGCCTCCTCAATCGCTTTATATTATCAGTCCCTTTCTTTCCAATGTTCTTTGAGACAACACCAGTCTTTTAGGTATCAAAGGACCAAAATGGACCACATCTTCAGAGAAATTTGGAAAGAAGTTTTACGAAGATTTAGGTAAATAAAAGTAGAGAAAATAAAATCCAAAGCAGCTGAGGGATTTTTAGGAAAACCCAGGATTCCAGTGTGAATCTGTAACAGGAGGATAGTTCATTCTACAGGCTAAGGGGAGTCAAGAAGCTCAAGGGGGCCCATCAGCCATGTTTTTGTCTCTAACCAAGCAGGGCCCTCCTCCTTACCTTGGGCATCTCCACCAGAGGTTAACACGGCGATGGCTTTGCCGACCCCCAGGGTTCTGGCTGCATGATGCTCTTCATGGGTCATGATCCAGTCTAGAATGCAAATAGAGATCAGTTAAGACACAGCTGGACCAAGGTGCTATGAGCTCTGGAAGTGGCTGTTAGACTGGACAGAGCCACTTCAGTCAGGCTCTCTCACTAAACGGAGTCTGGGCTTTGCAGCCCTGAGAGCTTGAACTTCTTCCAAAAGAGAGGCACACACCCCCAGAGTGACAAGCTGAAATGTCACAGTCATCAAGCCCGAGACCACAAAAGTCCTGGCTGATCCTGCCAATTGCAGCCTATTTGTAGAATAAGCAAAGGTCAAGGAGAAGAGCAATTGACTGGGCAGAAATGAAAAAGGAAGGAGAAAGTTAAGTTAGCCTTAGGGATCCTTCCTTTTAATGAAGGGAAGGGCTGTTGCAGAGCATAGGAATCAGATGAGACCCAGCAAAGCGAAAGCAGAAAAACGAAGATAGGTTGGATTATGGTTAAGATTAGGGCTGGGTGTTATGGAATTGGGCTAAGTGGAAACTGGACTTTAAGGTTTAAAGGTGCATTAGAGCTTGGGCATGTTAACAATGTCAGGCTAAGGAATGGTTAGGGACTTACTTTTTACTATTATTTTTTAAATATTTATTTATTACATTTATTGGGGTGACATGGGTCAACATGAACATACACGTTTCAGGTGAGGGTTTCTATGCTACAAGATCTGTATATTGCACCATGTGCCCACCACCCAAAGTCACATCTTCTCCCGTCATCACATAGTTAGGGGCTTTCTATGGTTTTTCCAATCCCCCTCAGGCTCTTCACCTCCTGAACATCTCTTGATCCTTTGTCTTCAGCCCTTGCCCCTCACACTACATACAATCAAAGGAGAAGAATAACACAAAATCACTGTCACACATACTCAGATATGTGCACACAACATGTGAGCACCTTCATATTTTTGTCTTTGGGGCTCATCTCTCTCAAAGGAACACATAAGACATACTTTTGTGTCCATAAAATGCCAATGGAATCATCATTCTCCCAGTTATCCAGGCTCAAATCTTATATTTTAAAATTTATTTCCTCCTTACTCTCAGAATCAAAAGTTACCAAATCCTATTATTCTCCCTTCTTTTTTTTTTTTTGTTGTTAATCCCCATCTGAGGATATTTTTCCATTGATTTTTAGAGAGAGTGGAAGAGGGAGGGAAAGTCAGAGAGAAACATTGATGTGAGAGAAACACATCGACTGGTTGCCTCCTGCACGAACCCTGACCAGGGCCTGAGCCGGAGGGTGGGGAGGGGGGAGGGCGCCTGCAACCAAGGTACGTGCCCTTGACCAGAATCTACTGAGCCAAACCGGCTAGGGCTATTCTCCCTTCTTATTATCACTCCAGTCTCTTCTATCCTCACTGCCTCTTCCCATCTGAATTGCCTACCACAATAGCTGGTCTCCCTCTCCTTGTGTTTCCCTTGTCCACTCTATTAGAGACACAAAATAAACCTCCATGGAAGGTGATAGGCCTCTGAGGCCTCAGTGGAGAGAAGAATCACTCACATGAACAGTGGGTGGTGACCTTTAAGCACAAATCATGTTTCTGCTGTGCATCTGGGAAAATAGGGTAACTGCCGATAAAGACATAGGTCACATAAACACAGATCCACACACTTGCCAGTAAAATGCATGCAATGAGACTCATGAAGACATACATTCACACAGAGTGTTATTAAGAGACACAGATTCACAGACATACTTCATATGATCAGTGCTGACAGATAAGCCCAGACTTCTTGGGTTGGCATTCAAAACTTCCAAGATCTAGCCCTTGCCTAGAGCTTGAACCTTTGCTCCCACGAATTGTTTCATCATCACCTGAATAATGCTTTGCTCCTTCCCACTTCTGTGCCTGGACACACTGCATTCCTTTTCCAGAAGGCTATGCAGTTCCTTATTGATCTGTGGGCCTTTTCCACAGGTCAATATCCTGCTCCATCATGTAAGACCCATCTTAGTTGCACCCCTATCAAACCTATTTAGCCTTCACTGATGACCATAGGTCAAGGAAGGCTCCTTTTTGGACCTCCTCTAAGTAACATATTGTCTGGACCTGGATCATTCATGTAGCACTTAATTACAACTTTCTGTAGTATTCTAATTGCACATTATTTATTGAAAAGAAGGTTAGACTAGATCAGGGGTCAGACGCAAATTACAACCCATAGGCCAAATCCAGCCCTTCTCATTTTAAAACGGTTGAAAAAACAATTTCATGACATGTGGAAATTATATGAAATTGTAATTTCAGTGTCCATACCACTCTCATTCTTTCATGTATCATCTATGACTGCTTTTGTGCTACAACAAGAGAATATTAGTAGATCACTGCAACAGAGACCAGATGCCCTGCATAGTCTAAAATATTTACCATCTGTCTTTTTACTGAAAAAGTTTACAGCCCCCTGAACTAGATGATTACTAAAGTCATTTTCCCTGACTAGACTGAAAACTCACCCAGGGAGGGTTCATGTCCATTTCTTAAAACTCTCCCACAGCCTGCCAAGGTCTAGCGAAGTCTATGCACGTAACAGGAGTTCAACAAATACTTGTTGAAAGCATTAGTGAACTGACGAACGACACAAAATGCACACAAATATATGAAAAATTTTAAATATGTTCAGATACAGATATAGCTTCATATTATCTGTACTTCTAACACATACAGCTACAAAAAGGACCAAAGAAACCAAATGCTAAAAGAAATATAAACACGTGGATAGAGACTATCTCCTATTTAACATTCACATCCAAATGTCTACTGTTCTCAAAAAAGGAAAGACTAAGTGGCTGGTGCAAATAGGAAAGTAAAAATTTGGAAAGAAAAGATCAAAACACCTGAAGGCTTCAGTGAGGGAGAGAATTCACCATAGCAAGGAGGTTAGTAGTGCTGATCACACAAAAAAACTGCTTAGATTCTTCTGCATGTCTAAGTTATACAGACACAGGACACAGAAATGCACGCAGATTCAAATATAAGCATCCTTTATAGATCCACAGTGACACACACGTAAAAATAAAGAAATATTAAAACCTAAACATAAAATCACGTGTGTAGAGAAGCAGGAGGGAGGGAATAGGAGTCAGCATCGTAGGTGCACTGATTTGAATTGGGTGAGTGCCAGGATAGAAGCCTACCAGCCAAGAGCAACAAGGTCCGAGCACCTTGCACCCATCCCTGATTCCCAGGGAACGGGCTGTGCGTGGGAGCCCAGGGACGGGAGCCCAGGGGCTTAGGGTTCTTCATGACTGCTCTACCCATCCCCCCGCTGGCTTCAGATGCCACACCACCTCTTCTTCCCCTGCTGCTCCTTTCCGTTCTCCCCGCCGCCTCCTCCCAGAACGGGCATTTCCACGTCGCTCTCAGCTTTCCCCCTCGCCTGTTACCCAAGGGCCCCTCTTGCCTTTTTGTTCTAGCTCTTCTCGGACGCGGCTTGCTTGCACACTGTCCTTGGAGAAGGGGGGAGGGGAGCTTGGCGAACAAGGGGAGGAGCCAGGTGGAGGCACCAGGGAGGGGAAGGAGGAGAGGCTTCCCAACCTCCACTGGCAGAGGCCGGCCAAGAGGCTCCGCCTCCTCCTGCTCGCCTCTCTCCTCCTCCCTCTCCCGCTATGAACGCGGCTCAGATGTGACAAGGGCTTTAGTTTCTTCACTCTCCAGAGAGTTCTCGGGCCCCCACATGGCTCTCGGGAGCCATCAGCTCCTGTAGGCAGTAGGAATCAGAAATTATTTAGTGGCTTCCCTTGCTGTCAGCAGAGACAACTTTTCTCCTAGCCCGAACTCTCCGAGACTTACTGCATTCTAGCATCCTCGGCAACTAACAGTCACCCCTCCCTCTGGCCCTATCTATGGTCTCCCACCTCTCTCACTCTGAGCGAACACTTACTGGAAGGCTGTGTGCCAGGTTTTAGGTGCTGAGAGATGAAAAGATAAATGAAACAGAGTCCCAGCCCTCGAGGAACATTCAACGTTGGCATTTACTACAGAGGGACCTCAAACACTCCCTTTACATGCGCGTTACCTTTCTCAGAGAAATACAGGAAAGTCAGCTACGGATGGGAGTACCAAGAGACAAGACTCCTGCGGGGATAACCCTGTCCCGAGTCTGCAGTAGAAGAGGGTGCAGGACTCTGGCGGCGAAGCCAGCATATCCTTTGGGCTACAAAGCAAAGCGGATCCCCCTGGGAACATTGGTCAAGTACTCCCAGAGCAAGCGGTGCATCTTTCACTCAGATCCCCTTTACTCCTTCCTCTGCTCCACCCACGTCTTTGCGTCGGTGCCTCTCCTCAGTCGTCTCTTTTCTTGCGGTTTCTACAGCCCAGTCTAGCTTACTTTTGTTTCTGCCCCTACACCCTCTGGCCACAAATGATAGGAATGCAAGTCATTAGGAGATAAAACCATTGGCGACACAAAATTAACTTTTGTGATGCAAATGTTACCATCAAAAAATTAAAAAGACAACTTATTAGAAGAAGAGTAAAACTTTGCAAAGCATATATCTGATAAGGGACTGATGGACATCCAGAATATATAAGTAACTCTTGCAACTCAATAATAAAGAATTAATAACCCGCACTAGCTGGTTTGGCTCAGTGGATAGAGTGTCGGCCTGCAGACTGAAGGGCCCCAGGTTCTATTCCCATCAAGGGCACCTGTCCGGTTGCTGGCTGAGTCTCCAGTGCGGGGCGTGCAGGAGGCAGCTGATCAATAATTCTCTCTCATCACTGATGTTTCTGTCTCTCTCTCTTCTGCTCTGAAATCAATAAAGTATTTTTTAAAAAAGGTAATAACCCAGTTTAAAAATGGGTAAAAGATCTGAACACATACCTCATCAGAGAAGACATAGAGAAGTCAAACAAACACATGAAACGATGCTTACCACCATATGTCATTTGGGAACTGCAAATTAAATTGGTGAGATACTACCACCTGTTACAATGGGTAAAAAACAAAAACCCTGACAATACCAAATACTGACAAGAATGTGGAGGCAATTCTCATTCT